CCAAGACATTGAAACGAGATGGTACTTCTCCTTCTTCAACCTCTTTTTTTTTTTGTGTTTATAGATCCCAAACCATTGATTGATTTTCATTAAGCTCTTTAACAGATTTGAAAGATACCCATTATCGAGATTCGTCCTGTCTCTTATCAATTTTCATGATTTAGCTCGAAATTTCCTTTCTTGTTTTTTTTTTTTAATATCTGAGCTTAGCTGAAATTTAGAGAGAATTCCGTCGAGTTCTGATAATACAATCTGTACTAATCTCAGTCGAGTTCGATCTCTGTATCATTTGTATATTCTAAGCTCGTGCTCATCTTTCCTCAAAGTAAATCTGTGTTCATCTTCTGCATCAGTGAAAGCTTTGAATGAAATCAAAGCTTCTTTGGGATGGAGAGTGGTGTACTCATGGGTCGGTGACGATCCTTGTGGTGATGGAGACCTTCCACCTTGGTCTGGTGTTACCTGTTCTACACAAGGAGACTATAGAGTTGTCACAGAATTGTAAGTCTACTTTCTTCTTCTGACATTTGGTGTTTGATTTCATCTGTTCATTTCACTGAACTATTCACTTGATCTGTGTCTGATTTGCAGAGAAGTTTACGCCGTTTCGATTGTTGGACCTTTCCCCATTGCAGTTACAAACCTTTTGGATTTGACTAGACTGTAAGAACTCTTTCAAATATCTATTTTCCTCTCTAGTTATGCGAGATCATCGTACAATACAGAGATTCCTGATAATTCTTGCTGTTTTGAAAATGGTTAAATTTTGGTTTGTTTGATTTTCCCAGGGATCTACATAACAACAAGCTGACTGGTCCAATCCCTCCACAAATTGGTCGACTGAAACGGCTTAAAGTATTGTATGTCCCTTGTGCTCTTACAATGATATATTCTTGATTTACTCTCTTCATTTCATCTTAATTTATTGTTATGAGACCAAACTCAGAATAGTATCCAATTTTCTACAGAAGTTTTTGTGACAGGATTGTGTTATTTGTATCACTATATCATATGCTCATGTTTCTATATACTTCACCTAACCATTTACTCTGTTGTTACTATTAGAAACCTAAGGTGGAATAAACTACAAGATGTGATTCCCCCTGAGATTGGGGAGCTAAAGAGACTAACCCATTTGTGAGTACCTTTTGTGTTTCTTTTTAGCCTCTGATGATCGTCCTTTTTTTACCAAACGGAGTCATGATTTCCTTTTTTTTTTATCTCTAAGGTACTTGAGCTTCAATAGCTTCAAGGGAGAAATCCCAAAGGAACTGGCTGCTCTTCCCGAGCTTCGGTATCTATACCTTCAAGAAAATCGTCTCATTGGTAGAATTCCTGCAGAATTGGGGACGCTGCAAAACCTCCGCCACCTGTAAACACCACCAAATCCCATCTTCTACGTACAGTTAAGCTCTTTTTACGTCATTACTCTCCATTGATTTTACTGAGATATGGTTTGGTTTCTGTCCCTTTCTTTTCAGAGATGTTGGTAACAACCATTTGGTGGGAACAATCAGAGAGCTCATCCGTTTTGATGGAAGTTTCCCAGCTCTTCGCAACCTGTAAGCATTCCTTCGGAATCTGCCTCTAGTTTCTCTTTTCCATTTGATATATTCTATTAAATAGAATTCTTTCGCCCTTTCTAAAATCTCGATCCTTTAGGTACTTGAATAATAACTATTTGAGTGGAGGAATCCCTGCTCAGCTATCGAATCTTACAAACTTAGAGATTGTGTAAGCATTCTACACTCCACATTAAGATATCTGCAATAAACTGATATCTCTGATCTTGGTTTACTTCATTTTGTAGGTACCTGTCTTACAACAAATTTATCGGAAAC